GATTATACCATCTAGTGGTCAATAAATACTTTAATTTTGCTAAATAAATTAACATTAGGTCAACCAGTTTGAAAAGAGTATGTGTGATTGTTTATGAAATGTTTTGATTTTTTTAGATGCTTATCATGTTTTATTGTTGTGATAACTATCCAAAATACGATTATTTGGTATTTTCCCTATAGGGGGTAACAATAAATTTCGATTTTGCACATAAAAATATAAATTCAGTAACTTTCTAATAAATGGTAGGTAAAGATCTAATTGTATTGTTTAAAAAAATACACATTGAAATATGGACGCCAAACACTTAAAAAATAAAATTAATGAAATGCTCATCAACTATGTTTAGTTCAAAGTAATATCAAAACGTGATATAAAACTCTAAACCCTAAAATGGGGACACAGTACTGCTTGTTGCTTAGAAATTTAACAATATTTTTGAAAAAATTTTAAATGTGTAATAAGGTCAATAAGTAGGTGGGTGGGGGAAAAAACTTAAATAATTGACTTTATAGACTTTTACTAGAGTAATATTACTAAAATGCTTTAAGTCAAATAATTCTTAAATTGTTACCAAAAGAATCAGTATTCTTACAAATTTATTTTACCATCAATTAACTTTATTTAAAATACTATTTGAATTTATTATTGACAATTCAGTACATCAATTTAGGCCTACTGTATGAACCGCTAAGATCCCCGCTCTGTCTCTATATCTGGCTCAGTTATGGATCACCCCATATGTCATTCAACCCCAACGTAGTTAATTCTCGTCCCATGGGGTTTGACCCTTCATAATTTTCACCCATAACATCTTTCTTATTACTTCATTTGATCGATGTAGAAAGACATTTTGAGGTTTAGCCAACAAAGTTGATAGTACATTATTGTTAATGTCTAACTTACATATCTGCCTTGTCTGCCTTATTTGTTTATCATATATGGTTTGGGTAATTTTACATATATAACAGGGACATTTGCAGCTGCAGTTTCATTCTGCTACTTTACCAACATCAATAATTATACTGATGTAATCAATTATAATCCGGTTTATAACCAACCTTTGTAATCTTCATCCATAACGTTAAATCTTCTTGTTTCATCTATCCGACGCAGAAATTATGATTTCAGTTGGTAAAACCCTTTTTGTATCATATTTTTTTATGGTTAACTCATGTGCATGTGTACTTTTACTAAATAGTTTTACCCAATATGCCTGTCTTATTATTCATTTGGGTTATATACGTTGGTATTTGAACGATTCAAAGTGTGAGCAACATTAAAACACTTCATATTTTGAGCCTCTCACTCGCTTAAGAACAGTATGCTACATATTGGCCCAACTATATTGTCTAAGAGAAAACCCCCTAGGTTTTTTTCACTATAATTTTTGCTGATAACAACTTTTAACAAAAAAATCGTGTTTTTGTTTTTGTGTGAGATGTTTACAAACACTACTCACATTCTCCTAACAATAAATTTACAAAATCCTAAACGTTATTTGGTTTCAGAGACCGTTGATCACATATTTTTGGTTGTTTCAAATGCCTGTCAACTGAATTAAAATGAATGAACTGGAAAGATTAGTCTCTGGGAGTCACAATGTTATTCCAGAGCTATATTTCAATCTGAAATGATTAAGAGGTCATAAAAACTTAATTACCAAAAAGTCTTCTTGGCGACATCACAAAGACTATAAACTTAAGAGCTCTGTAAAGTGGAGACAACTCCGATGCATTAAATTTAATGACTTTTGAGAGTTCCAAGAATTTTTCTGGATTCCTAGAATCGTTTTGCTTAAAAAGGTCAAGGTAGTAGTCCTGGATTTGTCTATCTACGAATTTCCCTATAGGGAAGGAGATATTCCGGAAGGTTTCTTAATGAGAGGTTAGGGTAGGTTAAGCTAAAAACACATTTTATTCACATTTATAAATAAATATACATGCAAGTTCAATAGCTCCTGAACAGCAAGGCTTAAATTTAATTTCGGTATAAACCAACAGTTATTTTGTTTGGATGAGATTGTAAATCAACCCGATTCAACTATGAAAATTGAGGCTTAGAGGGAACACCCTAAAAGATTGTTTAGGGTAAATTTTGTTTACGTTCTATAATTCAATAATTTGTTATATGGTACATATCAACTAAATTTACTCATTGCCCATTGGTTACTGAGATACTTAAAAGTACTTAACTTAATTCGTTGTTTTTATGTTGTGTTATTATTAGAGTATTTTTGTAAGTAGATTTCACGTTAACTAGAGGTCGTCCAGTGGTCGAAAAAACCAAAAATATGTAATGTAAAGACTCTCCACCCCAAACTGTAAATAAAACATGTGATTGGAGTTTCTTCCATTTGTTTTAATTTTCTGTTTGTATTTCGTTGATATTTCATCACCAGCATGGCAACCCATGAGGCCCATGTTAATTTAAAAAAATGTAAATTCATTTTTTGTGCTTATATTTTAGCCTATTTTATTTTTAACAGGATTCTGCACACCTACAGGAAAATATTTTTCTAGCAGTATGCGTAGATTTTCCATACGATGCACACGAGCTGAGAAAAATGTTTTAAAGAAAAATGCCTGCCTATTAATATGTAGATAGATATACATTTCTTTAGAATATTGGAAACGTTTTTTTATTGCAGATTTTTTATAGTGATCAACAGTAAAACAATCATCCAAAAACTCCAAATTAAAAAGACCTGTATTCTTGAGGTTGTTTCGGTGGCCGTGTTGTGGCCGTTGGTTTGTTTTATATTTTACATTACGATTAATGTAATTTTGCTCTCTCCTAATAACCCTAATAACAAACCTAACCACACTTTTAATCAATCACATCAACGTAAATATAGTGTTTTAAAGGTTGTTAACTTCTAGTATATATCTGTTTAAAACATTTATGTTTGATCGGAAAACTGATTCAAATATTAAAGAACTCTGTTTGAGGAATTTTTTCAATTAATCTGTCAGACATTTTGCTTATTTAAAAAGCAAAGTAGACAAATTTGTAACAAATTAAAATATTGTTTATACAATGCAGAGTTTCAAACCTACAAGTTCAATATAAAACATTATAATTCTTCATAAGTTCTTTCCATAAATTATAGTAGCTCAAAGTAAGGAACAATATTGTTAAAAAACTTTCTGTTACCAAATGCACGTAAGAATGATAAAATATACTAAATTCTATAACTTGTAAAAACCCAAAAATATTCCTACCTTGCTACACTTTATTACTGTTATTGACATCCTTACTACCAAAGAATTTAGAATTGATCAGGAATTCAAAAGGTAAACACAGTTTTAACCATGATCATTTTTATTTATTGGTGGGATCGCCACCTACACTGACTATAATACATACAGTACGCTTATATATAACAAAAGTACACGATTCTTTATACATATCGAGGTACGCACGACAACGGGTCGTTTTTGATTACAATTACACATTGGAGATCATAGAAACAAAATACATCATTCACTCTCTCACTCTTTCTTTTTTTACAATGCATGAAATAGGTTATTAAGTTACAATAAGTTTTTGTATAGACTAGTAATACATTTTTAGAGTCGTCAATTTATAAAGTAAAATTGGTAAAAATAGTTTTATATCAAGCTACGCGAAAGTCATAAGAGCTGTAAACAATAATTTACATTTATGATAAAACAATGAAGATTTCAAGCAAGTGTTGCCAACATCATAAAAATTAACTTGTACCAAATTCAACAAACATTTATTGTACATAGATTTATGTTTAATACCTTATATACAATATCAAATTTGAAATAGTTTTTACCAAAAATGTATAAAGTAATATTTTAGATCAAAACACAATATGTAGGCATATGGTAATCTAATATATATTTTTTATGTTTAAGAAACTTTTCCTTCAATAAATTATCAAATTTACAAAAAAACATTTTTTAAGTATTCGAATGTCCATTTCAAATGGACCAAAAAAACAAACAAACAAAAAAAGTCGAGTAAAATTTTACAAGAAAGCTGAAGTTAAAGCCCTGAATGAACAGTAAAGTTAAACAGCCAACGTATAATTAATTAGCTTTTTTTCATACAGTTGGCGGTAGTTAAATAATATCATATACACATAGAAAGTCAACATTTACAGCAATATTTACTAATTAACTTGTTCAGATAAAAATCACAATCATACAATAGTTACAGATGAAAACCGTTTGTCCATGAGAAGACAGCCGAAACAGGTCCAAAGCTATACAAACTACACTCAGCGGCCTTCTCATGGAGTTGAGGAGAATCTCCATTACGCATATCTTATCGAAGTAAAAACATACAACTAATAGTAAACGGTAAATATACACAGTTTAATCACAGTAGAACCGATGTAAGGAAGGAGTGTGCGATTCACTGAGTAATCGGCTACACCGGGTACTCATTCGATTAATCGAATTCATATCGAATACTCAGTGAATCGCACTGGGTGTCACGGTGGTTTAAGTACAATCCAACTACACTATTCGTATACAAACACATATGCTACATCGTCCAAAACACTCACTACGCAATGGACTCAAGTCTGCCGCTCGAATTATTGCACCAACGATAAAAAAGGGAACTCGTCAGTTTTATACACGCGAGTATTTTACAATTATTACAAAATTTGGTGACAATACGATCACTGAGAAGCGACTATCTAATAACGATTTTGATTATGATACGTAGACTAACAATAAATACACGAAGGAACTGAGGCGAACAGGACGGGATGGTCGATAGACTCTATCGTATATTTGAAACGGTTAAAACTTAAGTTTACAGAATATTTATATTTTTTTACTTTTGTTATTGCAGTTCTATATAAATTTAGAAAATGCTTATCATACACTGGGTATTAAAAAAAATTACGGCAGCAATCTAATTTTATGAATATAAATGGATATAATTTGCTAATTAATTGATTAACCGATTGCATTTCTATGAGGCGTACTGATTAAATAGAACATTGTTTAACACCATTCACAGAACTATCGGTCTTCATCGACCACCCCGTCACTATAGCGAAGGATTGGCACTACCACCAGAGGGGTGGGGGGTGATGTAGAGGGGGAGGTCACGACGAGGCAGCCTGATGGTCCGTCTCTGAGTGGGAATCCCTCTTCCTCCTGGAAGTGAACATCCTGGAACACCCGGAGTGGGAACACCGGAACATCTCCGACGCGTGAAGTTGCTCGTAGTGCTCATAGAGAGCGGTGGCGTCGGACAGGGGTTGGTGGCAGAAGCGGCAGGGGAGGAGGCCGTCTCTGTCCGGCGGAGGAAGCTCGTCGTCGTTGTGTGATGTCGGAGAAGACGCCGGGGAGGCTGGTGACGCTGACCCGGAGGAGTGGCCGTTGACATTGTGAAGAGGTTGTGAGAGGTGGGAGAAGTTGTTCATCCCGGGAAACCCGGGGAGACCTCCTAGGGGAGGTAGGAACATAGGAGGATGCGGAGGAAGTCGATCCCCATTCATCATTCCTGGAGGAGGAAGATGTGGTGGGAGAGGCATCGACTGCGGATCTCCATAGAAACGAGAGAGGAATTCGTTGTGAAGCGCTGTATTAGCGGCGATTGAAGAGAACGGTGAGTTTTCTAGGAACAAAGACCCTTTATCGGTTAAAGATGTGGATAGTAGTTTTCTGTGAAGGTTGAGATTCGCACTGTGTCTATCTCTACTTCTTTTCGAAGGGAAAGCTGCGTTGCATCCTTCCACGGTGCATTTGTGCATCAGTTTTAAATGGACGTTCTGGTAGTGCGTCTTCACTCCGAAATGGTTCTGGAACATTTTACCGCAAGCTGTGCACATACGCGGGTTGTCCTTGTCTATGGGAACGTCCATGGTACTGATGAAAGTTCCGTCTTGGAAGTGGCCGTAGACTCCGTCTCCGTTGTCTTCTGAAGCGCAGTCCCCAGAACTTCCGGAGGACGAGTGTGATCTTGCTGGACTTGGAGGGTCCTGATTCATCATGTAATTCAAAGGGAACGAATCGTGTTGTCTAGTTGTGTTTATTTCACCAAAGTTTCCCTGTGAGAGGTTTTCAAGCTGACGTAGAGCATTTGAAGAATCGAGTTGATCTTCTGGTTTTCTTAAATTTGGGGATTTAGAAAGCTCGTCCGATTTATCGTGCTTTAAATCTTGAATAGGGATGTTGTTATTTTCGTTGCCATTCAGTTCATTATCACCTCTTATGTTGTCTGGACTATTTCTTCGACTGCGGTCGTTGTTTTCAGAATTTTTTAATAAATCGTTTTTTGAAGGCTCTTCTTCTACCTCTTTTTCTGCATTGTGGCCTTCAGATTGAGCAGGACTCTTCCTTTCAGTAAATGTTATTGGTTTATCTTCTGTAGGTTCCTTTTCTGATAAGTCTTGTGGCTGATCACTACTTTCGACGTTTTTTTCATCACCGCCTTGCTGCAACCTGTTCATGTCTTCCTTTTTTCCTGCCTGAAAAACATCGTTTGAATATTCCTCGTCAGTCATACCATCTTCATCAGCGATCCTAGACGCCACAGCACATTTAGTAGGATTTTGGTTCTTTCTTTTTCTTACAGCTTTTGCATACGTTGCAGTATTTTCACCTGGGGTTTCTGTGTTTTCCTCTTTGACACTTTGTGAATCGACAACACTTAAAGAATCTTCGTTGCTGTCCATGTTGCTAACGTCTTCGTCCATGTCCATGTCTGACTCAGATAGCTTGAACCTTTTTGATTTTTCTTCATAATGTTTGTCTCCATTTTGCGTTTCAGAGTCTCCGTCGTCATCATCGTCCCCGTTTCCCACTACCACAATGCCTTCTTCATCGTCATCGTCCATCATGTAGTCGTCCATATGGTCAGAAGAGGAGTTCTCGTACCTTCTCTGTTCCTCTTGCCTGTGAAGACTCAGGTCTAAACTTTGTTTCAAGTCAAGAACAGCTTGCTGATGCCTCATGTCCGGAGTCGGGGGAAGCAGGGGAAATGTTCCGAAGGTAAGGGGGTTTAAAGCTCCTGGTGGAATGGGAGGTATTAGGATAGGATGCGATTGAGCGCTTCTACCGTCGTGAGGAGAGATCTTCCTTCTCAAATGCGGTGAATGCAGTTTCGGATTGGGGTTCGCACTATGCCTATTCCTTGACCTTCTGGAACTGAACATCATGTTGCACCCCTCCACAGTACATTTGTGCATTTCTCGTAGATGTACAGCTGAAAAGTGGATTTTCAGGGCACCTTTGTCACAGAAGGTTTTCAGACATACATTGCACTGCACTCTCTTCTTCCCTGTGGCAGGGTTTATTAGTTGAGTTCCCAAATTCAAAGGTAAAGGCGTAGAGCCCCACTGTCGCTTCATGGGTGTGGCGGTCTTTCTCATATGCTGAGGTCTGTGTGGCCTGGGCATCCTGGGGGCAGCGTCTCGGCTTAAGTTAAGAGCGGAGTGAGAGTTTTCTTCATCGTCGTCATCATCGTCCGACCCGAACTCACTGCTTCCCGGGCGATCGATGGATGGAGACCGATGGGGCTGGTATATAGACATGGCAGTGCTCGTGGCCGGGATAGGGGGTGGAGGAGGGGGAGGACAAACAGGGTTAGGACTCGTCACACAAAGATTCATCAACCCAGGAGGACTAGGCTCTGAATTCTCCGATGCTCTTCTTCTTTCCGGACTGTTCTTCACGGGCATGGACGACGCACCTGAAGCGATCTTCCGGAAATCAAAGGGCTGCATACTCTGGAGTCTATTGAGCGGGGACACACTGAGAGGACTGCTGCTGATACTGCTGGGGGGAGATGACGTCACAGGCCCATTACTAGTGGTCGCCGGTGTACAAGTCAACCCGGTAGGTGGAAGCTTCAGAAAGTTCATTGGCTTCTGTGGCGAAACCGGTGGCGGTGGTGGTCTAGCACCTATCTGGTGACCCATCGGATGATTCTGTCCAGGAGGAGACAACCCTCTCCTAGGAGGCTGCTGGAGTTGCTGGATAGGTTTGATGGATATCCTAGAGTTCCTGTCGTCCTCCTTCGTTGGGAAAGGTCTTCCTGCTGCTCGCTCTATGAACTTCTTGATGTCTGACTCTATCCTGGGCAGTCCAGAGCTGTGGAGTAGTAGCTGCTGGGTGATCGCCCTTGTCTCGCCGAACCTGAGGAACTGTTGCAGAACTAGAGGTTCCTCCTCAGGACTGCAGATGTTCCAGCGGTCTAGGACAGCGCCGTGAGGCTCCTGCAACAACACAACACCGAGGTCAGACGAGAAGCAAAACCAAAACCAAAACAATCAATATTAAATCAATAAATCCATGGTCTTACACTATAACGTGATAATTAATAAAAATCCAACAAGGGTCCGACCTGTGCATGAAAGCAAGGTCTAATCCAATATTTGTTATACATAAATTAATAAAAAATCATTTTAATAAAAAAATACCAGTTGATGAGTACGAAATTAATCTGAAACACCTAAGATACTTTTGCATAACAATTGGTATTGTACTAAAACATGCTTGGCTGTAAAGAGGCAAACAGTCCAAGATATAGATAAATAGGATATTGATATAGATGGGAACTGGGAGACATTTTGCACTTTATGGTAATGAGTTATTTTCCCACTAATATTGTTACATATTGTTTTAATAACTTAAATCTATATTTGTAATACGCTAGGCATTGTTTTAACCATTTTAATTTAATATTAATAGGTAATTAATTCATTCTTTTATAAGAGCTTCACATTGTAAGAAATCATGCGATATTACATTGTACAATATGATATCCTTATGTGACAGAATTAAAAAATACAAAATAAAAACAATAATTTCAGAATTGAAAGATGATTTCTGACTCAACCAGGTGATTGTGGGAACTAAATCAGTTTTTTTTTTAATCAATAATTTAATTTCCTTTTCTTTAGTTTAACTTGTCATTTGATGGTATAGTTACTACCGTAAATATAGAGTTGAACTGTAAATTATTTTATTACACACATGACTAAACATATGAGTAACTGTTTCTTTGACGAATTGAATATGTTTAGAAAAGTTCGTAAATAATCAAAAGCATAAATTTAATAATTATAAATATATACATGATGTGTTTACATTTTGCTTATACTTGTACCGTTGGCTGTAATTGTACCTTTTACAATAAACGTGTAATACGAGTAATTGGGAATAGTAGAGAGATATAAAGTCAATGATAGTAGGCAAGTCACATTTTTTTACGATTTGGTTATCAGTACGGTAATAAAACTTAGTCTATGATATTGTAAACAAATAATGTAGGTTAAAAAGGAATGAAGACTAATAAGACTACTATTAGGTTAATAGATCCATTCTTAAGTACCGTTGTTGTATTTACACATAGAAAATCGCTGTGTAGGCGCTATAGGCTTACCCAGTGTACATATATAATGAAGAGTCTTAAAAATTGCTATTTAAAAGTTAAAAATGTTAAATTGATGTCAAGGAAAATTTTGAAATCAAAGATTTTATTTATCAGTGATATAAAATTGAGTTTTCCAAGTTTTATTTCTTAAACAACAACTCTTACAAATTAATAACAACAATAAATTATATTATTTTCCCCAACAGTAAAAAGTAGTTACGACCACGTTATCTTCATGAAGTTATCTTTCCCAGACCTTTAGCCCTACGACTTGAATGAGGAATATCCAACTCGTATGGATTTCATAAAACCGATTTTAACCAAAACTATACTGTTATATAATTTGTTGAAATATTTTGTATCGTGTGCTATAAAAACAAAAGAGAACTCGAAGAAATTTCACCCTACAATACAAAAACATAAACAAAGCTCAATTTAATTTATCTCCGATTTTCGTCATCGATATACGCGATTCAATTATTTGATATCATATGAACGATAAATACCTGTATCACGAACGTGACAAAATTAATTATCAACAAAACAATCTTAAGTTAATTTCAATATTATGTTTGTTAACAAAATAAAATGAAACAAATACCTTTTAAATTTAGAAGTATTAGCAAAGTAACAGTCAATGATATATTTAGGTTTTTAATACACGGCTATGCATAGTACGTTACGATTATATGGTAATTATAGTTATTTTTTTGGAGAGAAACTGTATTAAACGTGTTGACTCAGAACCTACTGAAGATAGTAGAAAAAGTGAGTATCGTGTATTGTTTAATATTGGACTCAATTATATCAATGTATAAATACATCTATGTACAGTAAGTAGTTCATATACGATGTATCGTATAAATGTGTATTGGTGCTGAATTTAAATCTACCAAGCTAGGAGTTTTAAACGTTATTATTCTATACCCACGTAAAACTACATGTTTTCACCCAATTTTTGATTAATACTGAATGAATTTAACTAATTAAGATTTAAGTAGACTAGATTTATCATTATTTTAGGTGAAAAAAGTGTTTAAAAGCATATTCTAATTCATATTCGACAGCGTTTTAGAGCTTACGTCTTATTTTTATTCATAGGCAAATTTACTAACATTTAATTACTTTTAGATTAAATAGGTGCATACTGCTACTTTTTATCTAGTATTGTCTCTGAAGAATAAAGTATATACTGTAACTTAATGCGTAGTCGTTATCAACCAACGCACTTCGGGCAACACGAAACAATCACAAAGCTTGCTTCAGATTTTTGAGAAAAAAAAAAACACGACAAATCCCTTGCACTAAATGTTTATCAGTAAAACCAATTCGCTGAAACGACGCAATGCAAAACCTCAATAATGAAAACAGTATTTGCAGACTAAAATAATTGTTTGCTTAAAACTATCGAATCTAAATGAAAAGGATTCCTTATTTTATGAACTTTTAAATTATATTCGACCATTACACCTTAGCTCATCAATAAATTCTCAAAAACATCTAAACAAGAAGTAATTAAAACAATAGCTGTAGGCAATAATTGCAGTGTATATTTTAGTAGCTTTTAATTATGAAAGGAATATTGTTTAACCTCTTTATGAAAAAAAATGTAATTGAGTATGTTACGTTTGATTACAAATAATATTAACGATTGTTAAAATATCAAGAGCACAACATATTGTATTGCGTGGAGTGAAATATATAAATTAGTAAAGCCACGACAAAGAGTTTTACAGTATAGACATTAACAATTCAATATCCACACCAAGTAAATGATGATACTATATTTATATAAAAATCTACTGCTGAGATGTAGTATGTAAATAATCTATCCAAATAACCTTCCGCAAAAAAGAAAACAAATATTTACTCGCACTGTACTAACTAACCTAAAAGTGATAATTAACTAGAAAACAACAAAAATCTCACAATTGTTTTCAAAAACCATTACACAACAATTAAAATAAACAATAATATCAACAATGGCAGTATGGTAAACACAACATAACCATTGTTGCACTAAACGTAACCATTGTTGCCAACATACCCGATAGAGAAACAGCGGCAGTGGTTCCATGACGACATCCGAACGCGTACTGAACCTCTGCCGGCCGCCATCTTGCCACTAGACCACGTGACCATTCCGAGGGGGTTGGACCGGGAATTTATTTTTTTGTCCGCCAGATTCCTAAACTAATGGTTTAAACGCTCACGATTCCTAGATTACAGTATTTGACAAAACGGCGATCTACGCTACCGATGTAATTGCCGTACAAACGCACACCAGACGATCTTCCGTCCCTAGATTACCGGGCCGGACCCATTAATCCGTTTAAAATGTGATTTTACCCGGCGACCCTTTTTTAATGAATTCACAGCGTTGCTAAGTGTGCATTTTGTGTCATTAGTTTTTCCCGTCTGGGCTGTAATTGACAATTTATACCTGTTTGTTTAATTGCGGTCGGCCCCGGGGCTTTGGTTTCCAACCTTGGGTTTCAATTTAATTTTCGACGATTAGGAGTCTGTTTGGGATTATAGTGTTTTTGAACGCTTTTGTCTTGTTGAGTGCGTTTTACAGGTTTGACTGACAATACAATGTTGAATTGCTGAATGCAATAAGATTTTGTGTGAAATGGAGATTAGGAAAAAATAGCAAGTTGTGCACGAAAAAAATATAAAGGGTCAATATGGCAATACTTCTAAGACACATAACAAATCAACACTAGAAAATCACCTAGAAGGTGGTACATATTTTCGACCTTTTTTACTTAGATTTTTTTTTTTTAATAATAGTTTTTGAAGTTTTAAAGTAGCCGACACTTTACTCATCGCAGGCTCGCCGGTAACAGCGGTGTCTATAAATAAAGATTATAAAGAGGCTGAGCGCCCCGCCTGGGGGGTACTTTAGCTGATAACAATGTTATCTCTGCCACTGTCATTCCCGCCAAATACCGCCGGATGACAAAGTGGCGGGAGAATCCTCTCGTATGTGATAAATGTGTGGTTTAAACCATCTTAGCCTTGGAAGATTATTTTTCGGTCAATTGTCCAGTGTTGTAAGTCATGCCTTGTTGCAAACCAAAATATCTTGTTCGACATTTTTTTATATTTTCTGTAATGTTAAATTAATTGTCTTTGAAAACTATCTAAAATAGGTAAAACGGGGTTTATAGTATTGTATCTAGAATATGCTAGTCAGAATAATATTAATTTGTAAAAGTGTAAGGTATAAATTTCAACATAGTATTGAGATTGTACGTGAGCTTAGTAATGGATTTGGCCAACACCTAGTCCAATCAACAACTCATTCATTGGCCTACAATTATAATTTTCTTTGCATTACCCATTACTAACTTAAATATTTATATGTATACCTTACGTACGGTCTATTTTTTAGCACTTTTCATCAATATCGTCCGGCAAACCCGATTTGATGGTTTAATGTATGTGACACACAAAAACCACTGTTGCCTTCATTTACTATATTCCTGACAAACTCATTGTTCAAGCCGAACTATACAGGCTGTTTAAAAAAAGTGAGGACATATTTTACCTGGTGGTTCCTTGTGTCTAAATAAAGAGAAAATCAAGAATAAAATAATTTCCAAAATCGCTTCGTTAACCAGATATACGCCCTTTTATATTTCTTAAAACATTTTTATCTTTGAGTTTTTTCAACCAATCTTTTTGAAACTTGGTATGTATATTAAGGTAAAAGAGACCCTTGTTATAAAAAAATCATCTTTACTCGACTAAAAATTTCAAAATGGCGGCCAATAAAATTTTTAAAACTTAAACTACAAACAAAACAGCTAAAAACATGTTGGTTTAAACAATTTA